AAAAGGTTACCCGCGAAGCATGCAAAGGTATTTAACTAGCAAATTATTACTTATTTCGTCTATCATTTTCTTTTTCTCTTTTTTTCTGTGTTTCGGGAAATTCGATGTAGTTGAACAACAAATTTCCAACTCCAGAAATTCTATTTGTGTAGTAAAATTTTTTTTTGAATCCACTTAGTAGATCTTCATCTGTTCTTAAGCGATTCTAATTGATTTCATTGAGACAAATCACCAAATAGACAAAAAAAACTGAACTGTATAGTAAAATCAGAGAAGATCTACTTGTCTGCATAAAAGTTTCATAAAGGACAGTTGAACAACATATATAATAGAAGTTAAACAACTTTTTAAGAGCTTCCTCTGGCAACTTCTACAAGCACTTGCATACTGTCATACCCGAAGAGTTTTACACAGAGATTTAAAGCCGCAGAATCTTCTCGTTGATGATAGCGGAGTTATCAAATTAGCTGATTTTGGACTCGCACGGTGCGTCTTAAATGGTATAGGTGCTGTTGAGAGTTTTTGATTTTTTTGGGCATTGATCACGAAAGTTAGTGACAGTAAGCTCCAGTTTTTCTTTGAGTTTTGATGTGCTTTGAGTAGATTGTCGCATAAGAATAAAGTAAATGACTGATTTGTTTTCTTAAACCAAAATTTTCTAAATGCATCATATTTAGAAACTTCTCCATTCCTAGTCGCGTTTATACTCATGAAGTCGTTACATTGTGGTATCGAGCACCGGAGGTATGGACTTGAGTAATCAACAGTCTGTCGCCTAAACATCTCTTCAGATCCTCTTGGGAGGACGCTACTACTCAACTGCCATCGATATATGGAGCTTAGGATGCATATTTTCTGAAATGGTAGCAGGAGTTCCTTTATTTGCTGGAGACTCTGAGATTGATCAGTTGTTCCGGATATTCAAGATTTTGGGAACGCCTACATCTGAGGTTAGTCCTATTCCCATTAGCTGCCTCAATTGGGGTTAAAGTGCTGATTTATAGACATGGCCCGGGGTGGAAAAGCTGCAAGACTATAAGAAATCATTCCCAAAATGG